AATCAGTCTCTATGTAACTTATAGACCCTCACTCTCTTAAAGGTCTGATTAGTATGAAACCGTTTATCACCTGTAAATCAAATCTGATCTAGAAAAACAGACAGTCTTCCAACAGACTCCAGTGCATTTTATTGTTTGCTCAGATAATCATTAGAAACAGCCTGCAAGAAATGGAAATAATCAGATATAAATTAAAATTCTTTCAAGATTATATTAATGCGAATAAATTTCCAATGAAACCACAGCGATGCTTTTTAAAAATGTGGCTCAAAACCACCAAATAGTGCGTTCTCTCCCAGCAGATGAAGTTTAAAAAGCTCACCGAGCTACGCGGCTGTCAAACACAGCTCCAATTCATTTTGACAAAATAGCTGGACAGAAAAATAATAGTAAAAAATTGTGGCGATATGATGCTGGAAGAAGTCCCTCCCACTTGAAATGGACAGTTCACTCTCAGTCATTTGGGTTGAGCCACACCAAATATAGAGCAGGTGGTGACGGAGACGGCAGAGCTCGACCATTTACAGCGACTGTGAGCCGGAGCGGTGCGCTCGAGTCCTCTGTGCTGCTCGCTCACATGGCTTTCACTTTGATCTGCTTCATCTTCATCTGCTTCTTCTCGATCTTCTTCTGATCACGTCGCTGAGCCGCTTCCTGGAGAAAGAAAGAGAAATATTTGAAGACGTTATTTGTGTGTTTTTCTTAAATATAAGATTGATATTTTGGGGATATGTGTTGATTTGCTTTCAAGCTGAAAGTTAGATGAGAAGATCGATCGACCGTCACATATGTACGGTAAACATGTAGCTACAGCCGGTTTAGCTTAGCTTAGCATCAAGCTAAGAAACAGGGGAAAACGGCTACCTATCCAAAACCACCCAACCAGAACCTCCAACGCTCAATTAACAAGCTATATATTAATTGTTTAATCTTTACAAAACCAAAGTGTAAAATCAATTAACAGCACATTAATGTCTGTAAAACATCTGCATCATTTTAGGTAATTACAGTGAGTGAATTCAACAAAAATTGCTAGAATCATAAAAGTACATCAACTTCAGTAAAATTGCTGAACTGCTTCAGGTGCATTTACAAGCACAGAATGACATCATCATCAATCATCTCTTCTCACTCTCAGCAACAAAGCAAAGAAGCAGCTTCCACCAAAAAGGTCAAATTCTTCCTTTAACAGTCTTTTTGTGGCATTTCTGACCTCCAGACGACGTTGTCTCTCCGGGTCCTCCTCATTCATGATCCTCTCCTTCTCGGCTCTCTTCTTCTCCTCCCGGCGTGTCTGAGCTGCCTCCTGCCGCTGAGCGTGAGTCTGCTTCAGGAAGTTCTCCTCCACACGGGCCCGGTTTCTGTCAGCCTTCATTTTGCCCTACACATGCCGGGAACATATAAAGCACTTAAAGTAAGTGTAGTGGTCATTTGGATGCACTGCGAGGCACCGACGTGCTAGAATCCCACGTACCTCTCTGTTGAGACGGAGCTTCTTGACTTTGTCGATGCTGTAGATCACCATGTTCATGAGAGGCAGCAGAGAGTCCATGTCTTTGGGAGAAGGGTTGCCCTTGCCAGGCACTACACAAGAAACAGAGTACATGAAACATCAACATGACATGATGGGGTCGTGAAGACAGGAGAGACGAAGTGCTCACCATTAAATGTAAACAACAGCGTCTTCTTGGTCTCAGGCAGCTTTAAGGGCTGACCCTCCCTGAAAAACACACACACTGGAACTTTAAGTACCACAGAGAACGTATTAAAGTGCTAAATAACTTCCATGTCGGAGATTGAAAAGACAAAAAGATGAAATACTTACTCTTGCATAACTTTTGGACCAGAAAATTGGTCCGAGAAGTGGATGGACTCGATCTTTTCAGCATGATTGGTGATATAATGCACCATCTAAACAAAAACAGATCCAGACACATTGAGAGCTGTATTTAAAGAGAGTAAGACAGCCTGTCATAATAACCCTGTTCAACCCTTAAACACAATACTGTGTGTGAGACGGCCGTAGAGAGACAGTACCTTGTTGTCCATCACCCCATCTGTGACCTCGCCCATCTCACTCAGAATAGACAGAGAGTCAGGGAGCCCATACTTGGCCCCGGACTTAGGCTTGTCACCGCAGAACTCACTCTGTGGAGAAATAACAAAAACCATTGTTTAAGTATATGAAGTAACAATAGTACGGTATAATAAACACAGCATGTGCAGAAGTTGTGGAGGATATTCACCAAGTCCTGCATCTCCTTCTGGAGCTTGGCCATCGTCTTCTTGGTGCCGACAGCGAACACAAAAGTGTCCATGTCGTCTTCATTCAGCGTCACTTTGATTTGCTACAGACAGAGAGATGTGAGTGAGACAATGACTGTGCACAGTCCAGTGAATCTATACTTTGTGTTCCAGTTCACAGACTCCACACAGACTTGATTAAATTGCTATTTGAGCGATACAGACCACTTGATCCCCGGCAGGCCTCATCATCCTGGCCAGCACGTTGAGCAGGTCCTGCCTCTTCAGAAACTGGATGAGACCACATGAGAGGAACATTACATGACGGCATATTCAGCACAATACAGTGACACCAACACAGTCCTGTACATGCAACACATCAACACACCTTGAGCTGGATCAGCATGCCTTCACAGCACACACGTCCGGAGCACCACAGGTTGTAGATGTGCTCATTTTCCTGATTCAGCTTCCCGGTGCTCACTGCGTCTTTACTGGTGCCGTCATCACCTGCACATACCAATGAACACAAGCTCTGCTTCGTACCGACCGTCACCACGATTGACATCCGTTGCTTTCACACACTGCTGTGTCGTGTACTGAAGACAACTCACCCACTAGTGCAAAGTTGCTCTCCAGAAGCTCCCTGTGTGAGTTGAACCAGGCCTGAGCGAGGCGACTGTTCTTGTTCTTGCCGATGAGGTAGTTCATGATATAGGCCAACAGGCCGGTGACCATCAGGATCTCCATGTAGTAACTCTCCCAGCTGTTCTGCAGATGTGCAGGAACCTGCAGAGAAACAACAAGCGTTCATTGGCATCATAGCTCGACTGATGCTGGATTTTGTTCCTAGGCCAACATGAGATGAAACTTTTAAGAGTAAATGTTTAACATTTCTGTACTTAATTACATAGTGATGCAACATATAATTCATCCGTCTAACTTTAAGTATAATGACGACACCGTATGCGTTGCAGGCAGCAGGAACCACGTGCACTTTCAGAGCCTCAGCCGATCACGATCAGAGGAGTGTGAAACTTGCCTGTGAGAAGATTTTAGCAATAAGCCCGGCTTACCGTGTGGATTATAAGAGGGTCTTTCATGGAGTGGCCCGGCTTCTCCATGTCTCCAGTCACCTCAAACTCCTCCTGGTCATATTTACTGTACATGTCTTGATCCTAAGGAAACATCGAGGTCATTTAGCTTTGCGTAGTTTAATAAAATGGCATCAATAATACAAAAATTCATTTATTATGAAGAATGTGCTCAAATTGTATGCTTATATATGTAATACAAGGCCATGTACCTGTGTCTCGGAGTCCTCAAAGCCATCCAGACCATCGTCCAGCTCCACGGTGGCTTCATCTTCGTCTTCCTCCTCTTCAGGCTGCGAGGAAGGCGAGGCGCGAGGCGGGGGGGCAGTTTCTGCCTCAGCCGCCGGATCATCGTTCATGTCTTCAAACTCAGCGAAGTCGTTGTCGTCAAAGTCTGCGATGTCCTCGCCATCGTCGAAGTCATCGTTGTAGTGTCCCCTGGAGATGGGAAGGGCCAGGAGGACCAGCAGCACGGGAATCAAGAGGAGATGCGCTCTACGCATGGTGGGACCTGCACCACAGGGGGAAAGAGTTGATGCAAGAGGACACACCAGTTCAGAAATCTGTCAACTGCTCCATTCTGCAAGGTGCTTGTGTATCAGTGAGGCTACCTGGAAGCATTACATTCTGTAAAAGTGTGGTGATAGTGTCAACCTGTCAGGCCATAGATATTTAACATAATCCAAACTGAGGCCTCTGGCAGTAGCTTATAACTGTGGGAAGAGCTCAGGTTAAATTTCACCACAACACAGCAACCAAGGAAGCCACTGCTCGCACAATAGGGCTTCATGAGACAAACCCCAAAGAGAGGAAAGAGTCCCCACGGACCGAGACTAACGAGGAAACAACTACTGAGGAAGAGAAGGAGCTGCTGTGTTGATTTGGTCCCTGATTAAGTCACTTTAAAAAAAAGGATAAAGCTATAATGTATCAGTGTACCAGGATTAGACATTACTAATGACACACTAAGGCACAACGTAAATGCTAAGCTAGGTCAAACTTCAGGAGCTGCACTAGCTGGGGGTTAAATCCAGAGAGCTGTCGTTAGCCCAATGAACTTTAGCCCAACATATCTAACGTGTGAGTTTTGCTAACAGGCTTTAATATAAAGTGATATAAATGACTTTCTGTGGTGGCATTCAAGTCAAAACTAACACTGTATACTAATCCAGTGTTTATGACATGTACGATGAAACCACAAACCCGCAAATCATACCCGACCCATCCCCCCCAGCTCTCACTCACTTTATCATTAGCTGTTAGCAAACCTGCTATTAGCATGCTAACGGTGGCTAACTAGCATGGCACCTTGTTGCTAGCAACCAACCTGTTCTCTTTAACTCAACCCAGACGATTAGTCGTACTTTAACAAAACACCCGAACAACGAGCGTACCTGGAGTATGACTGTGACAAAAAAAACGTATCGCTGGTTTCGAATCAAGTAGCTTGAACTGTCCTTGTAGTAATATTTCCCGTTACGCCTGAAGCAGGAGAGCACTCGACATAGGACCAACCTTTCAAAGCAAAAGTATCGCAGCAGGATATATCCATTACTCCCTTCGACGCCATAGAAATCACGTGACGTGTACTCGTCTGATTAACGCAACAGTTTTATTTTGAAAATATTTATACCGGAAGTCTTTATGGGCTGTTGTTATGTCTGCCTTTATGCGAGTGACGTTGAACATAGGGCGTTGAATGCTAGCATGCTTATTACTTCAGCGCCACCCACTGGTCACGTTACGTAACTACAACTGTGTCTATTTCAGAAGTGGTATTACAGTACACAATACTACGATCATAATATACATAGTAAAGTAGCTTACAAACTATTTTCTTACGCTCTGGATTCATACACTACAACATCCAACTCCTTACATTACAGCATAGATTATATTTGTATAGTTAAAATAAATATCGTTATTTACACAAATTATTACAGAATATCATTCTGCTGTATATGCAATGTAAACATCCACCCATGCTATATTTATTTATTTTCACTATGTATGTTATGTTTTATTTTCAACTTTATATAATTGTTAAGAGTTTACAGACTGCTTAACAATAAAAGCCTTATGAGTTTATCATTAAACTAATGTATTGAGTTCAACTAACTTACCTATTATGTTACACCGTTACTAAACTTTTCGTTGTGTTATTAAGATAAATACAAACTTTATTATGTATTTATTAGCAGTTAACTACGCACTTCATAACGGTTAACTATATGCGGTTTACTTTTGCTCGGAACTATTTTTCAGGACATTTGAGCGACACGGAATCATTAGTGTGTGACACACAGCGGCTGAACCATGTGGAACGTGTTGCGTTGACTTCGTCGGTGTAACGTCGCTCGTTGAAACAGTTGTCAACATTCTCGTTCATAATGAACGCGATTCCTATTGAAAGCGTAAAGATAGTGCGGTAACAACAGATGTTATTGATGTTGATGACTTTAGCTGCTCTAAACATCGCTGAATAATGGGGAAATCTAAGGTAAGGACCGGACTGTGCTAGCAAGTTAGCCACGAGTGAAGAGAGTTAGCCTGATGTGAGCTTAACACTTATATTGTAATTTAAATCCAAATCACACAGGAATCGGTGAAATGTTATTTCCCTTTTCTTTTCATGATAATAAATACATATGACTATTGTGCTTTCAGACCAAGAACCAGAAGAAGTCCCGAGCTACAGCTAACCATGTGGCCGAGGAGACCTACGGCGCGGTCCCGCACTCCTTCGTGTTTAATCGGGGTCAGATTGGGAAAAACGTGGGTCAGCTCATTGTGGACGTGCGGAGAGTCATGGAGCCGTTCACCGCGGAGTCTCTGAAGGTCTGTCGAACCGTAAAGCAGACTGTCCACGCTGCTGGATGAGGCCATGTGCTCTGTGAGCTCATTCGGTTGCTTTAAATGGCATCACAAGGGTAGATGTGTGGTTGTTTAAAGGCTTTATTTGAACAATTGAGTGAAAATATTTTGGTTTTCTCGAGATTTAAGTGTCATTGCCTTATCCTGCTGAGTCTCATCCACTACGTCTGACCTGTTTGTGCTTCTTTTTTTCTTTTTTTTTTTTAAACCAGGTGAGGAAGAAGAACGTGCTGAAAGACTTTGTAGCCATCGCAGGACCACTGGGAGTGACTCACTTCATGATGTTCAGCAAGACTCCCAGCTGCATAAACATGGTGAGACCACCTCACACTATGAGCAGGCCGCTCTCTGGTACTGAAGGACTGTACGGTTGTGGCACGTAAAGCCTGTTCCACCATTAAACAACTCGCATCTTGTGCTTTCAGAGACTTGCTCGACTTCCCAAAGGTCCCACGCTTCATTTCAAAGTGCTCAAGGTAAAACATATGAACTCATGATTGAAACACAAGTAGACAGGTGGGCTCAAATGATGATGACATTTTAGTACTTGACTGTCTGTGATGTTTTCAAAGTAAACGCACTGATTTGCCCAAACTGTCAGTCATTTTCAACTCTTGATTTTTTTCTCGTTTAAGACTCTTTTGAACTTTTTCTCTTCAGTACTCTCTGGTCAAAGATGTGGTTTCGTCCCTGAAGAAGCACCGGATGCACGAGCAGCAGTTCACGCACCACCCGCTCCTCATCCTCAATAACTTTGGATCTGACGGCATGCACGTCAAACTCATGGCCACCATGTTTCAGAACATGTTTCCTTCCATCAATGTGCACAAGGTTTGTTCTTCTAGCGCACAATATTGCCTCGCCGTCACTTTGGTTGACTCAAGATTGAAAGCCTCGTTGGCATGATGAGAGTATAGTCTTCTGAGATTCCCTTTGAAGATACATTAAAAGTAAACGCTTTCTGATTTCTGAATCTTTGAGTCTTTCAGCATCGTAAACATTTAACCCTGAATTCTAGCAGTAAATAAATAAGATGCTGTTGTTTTCCAGATAAGCCTCAATAATATCAAGAGGTGTGTGCTGCTGAATTACAACCCAGAGACCCAGGAAATTGAATTTCGTCATTAGTAAGTAATGCGTTGTCACGTACATTAGTCACAGATGGCAAAGAGCTTGACTTTGCACAGAGATCGGCTCAGATGATGACAGATTGTGACTTGATTGTTCAGTGATGTTCAAAGTAAACGCACTGATGGGCCTCCACACTACAGCCACACGTCTTATATGTTGTTGAGTGAATGTCACACTGACGCACATGACGTGTTGTAACCTGCAGCAGCATGAAGGTTGTCCCCGTGGGAATGAGCCGCGGCGTGAAGAAGCTGATGCAGGAGAGGTTCCCCAACATGAGCAAGTTTGAGGACATCAGCGAGCTGATGATAAAGTGAGCTGCTCGTGGCGGTACAGCCGTTGTAGTCCTGAGGTCAAAGGGCGCTTAGTCTGATGACAATCTGTTTTGTGCTCTCCTTCGTCTCTCAGGGGAGCGAATCTCTCCGAAAGTGAAGCCGAGCAAGACGGGGAGCACAACATAACGGAGCTACCGCAGGTCTACTCCGGCAGAGGCAACATGGCGTCCCAGCAGAGTGCCGTCCGTCTGACCGAGGTGAGAGCGCCGAGGGAGCGAAGCCGTTTAAAGATGTTACCATGTTGCTCGGATGGCACCTGAAGTGTTGCTCTGTGTTGTCCTCAGATTGGTCCTCGCATGACTCTGCAGCTGGTGAAGATACAGGACGGCATGGGAGACGGGAGTGTCCTCTATCACACCACGAGTGAGTTCACCTCCGTCCTTTTTCTTTGGTCTTCCTGCTTGGTACGTTCTGGTGTACGTGATGAAAAAAATCATTATGAATTTTATGATTTCTCTCTAAAAGTAAACGCTTACTGATGCATCGGAAGACTACAGGGTTTAATGTGGACCGTGTAGAAACAGTCTTCTAAGTTGTTATGCACTTTGTTTGAAAGTCTCCAAGACGGAGGAGGAGATCCAGGAGATCCTGAAGAGGAAGGAGGCCCAGCTGAAGGAGAAGGCCGGTCGCCGGAAAAAGCAGGAGCAGAACGTCGCTGAGAAGAAAGAGAAACGAGACGTGAACAAGTAATTTGGCCGTGTAGATAATCAGACCTTTCTGCCATGTCATTTTTTTTCTTTTTGCGTCCGTGTAACACTTATTGTTTCCCCTCCTAACAGGAAAAAGAGCCTGGAAGGCATTAAGAGGAAACACGCCGAGGCTGAAGAGGACAGTGAGGTGGAGGATCCCGGGATGCAGGACAATGAGGTCGCTGTTGTTGAATCTGATGATGAGGTGGAGTACTACAGACAGGCTGTAGGACTGGAGCCAGATGAAGGTGAATATAACGTTGTGCTATAAGTCATTAGCTCTGCGGGTTGTTTTGAACGTAGTTATTGACCAAGACTCGGTTTTTGTGTGCAGACATGTTCCCCGCTAACAAGAGGAGGCACGGCTCAGAGAGGACTCATGACCCTGCCAAGAAGAGGAAGATGTCACCGGGTAAACCGTTTAGAAAAGACAGAGACACTAAATCCCCCATGAGAAGCGGTCCAGGAGGACACCGAGACAAAACAGGAAAGGGCGGGGAGAAACCGTTTGGGAGGAAAATGAAGCCTGGAGGAAAGGCGTTCGGAGCAAAGAAGTTTGGCGACCGGGACAGGAAGTTTGGCGACCGGGACAGGAAGTTTGGCGACCGGGACAGGAAGTTTGGCGACCGGGACAGGAAGTTTGGCGGGAAGAAGAATTTTGATGGGAAGAAGACATTCGGTGGTAATAAAAATACGGACAAATCTAAAGGTCCAAAAGGCAAGCCGGCCTTCAAGAAGAAGGGTCCAAAGCACGGCTCTAAACAGAGGAAGGGGAAAGGCTGAAGCTCCTCCTCCCCTCTCTGGACTTTCAATGTGTTTTTCTGCTCGACCTCCAGGTGGCAGCAAACAGCCAGTTATTTAACCAGATGTTTGTTTGTGAGACAGTTTATTGCTGAAAATCAGCAGACGGACAGAGGAGAACAGAAGTGCTATATTTTCCACACTGTATCATTAATTGTACTTGTTCAATAAATTGTTAAAAGATGATTTTGTTCTTGTCTGGGAGCTGGTGCTGTTTCTTGGAGTTATGATTATTACATTTTTTTTTTTTCAATTCAAACTTTCTTTTCAGACTCGGGGTCCAGATAAGATGAATACATAAAATGACACAAACATTAAAGTACATGTAGGCCTCGCAATGCCTTACAGAGAGACAGCTGTACCAAAGTATCCACAGCTGGGACTGGTAGCGTGTGCTACTAAACTATGGTCGTTAAAACCAATATGTCATTTTCAGAGGCATTAAGCCGACAAATACTTTTATACATAAGATTTCTTTAAACTGTTTGGAAAGTATTGACTCGTGCAGCCGCAAACATTTCACTGGCACTACTCCATCTGTCCCTTTAGCAGTATTCTCGTGGCGTCATTAGTCGCTGTAAGCTCTTTGTGTGTGTGTCGAGTGTTGTACAATATGCTCTGAACAGAGACATCCTCACTTACTCTGTACAGACCAAACTTGCGTGAGAGAGTGATTGCTTGTGCATACATCCTACGACATGGCCGAGAAATGTCGTTATCGGTCGTGTTCCGTTATAAAACGACCTAAAATATATTTTACTTCACAACAGACACCAAGATTATCAGACAATCTGAAGTCGGGGAATTTTAGACATTTGTCCTCTTTGGTTCGACAGATCAAGATGGCATTCTCACTAAACACCGGAATATTTTTCTAATCCAGCTCCACCACTCTGGAGTGAATTGCAGACCCACATATGGAGACTTGTCCTAGGAATTTCAAGAATGTGCCCGACAGGTTTTATCATCACTTTACTTCCACACTTCTGGGTCAGTTATCAAGTTGACACCGAAAGACCGCACCCAGGGGATTTATATGAAGCTGCTGATGCTCATTAGCTGCTCCCCAAAGTCTTCATGTGAGGATCGAGTTGTAAGTAACAATAAGACTGATCTCAGATCGGTGATTAAGTTTACATTTTTATGTAAAACCCTCCCCTAAAGCCCGTAGTCATAGAAATGGTTAACACTGAGAGCTATTTACCACCATTGGGCTTGCGCATGCAGTGCCATCATAGTGTTTCTTTGAGTTGCGTAAGAGGAAGTGACAGACTTAAGTATCAGAATTCTAAAAGCCCTCCATGTCTCTCACGTCGAGGAGCTTTTCATGCTGTCGTTACAGTTATCACACAGGAAATTAACTCTCGGGTTACACGCCACAGCACCTGCTCTGCAAAGCTGCCTTACGGTAAGAAGAGGTTAACATTTACATTTCTGAATCTCTCAGGGTAAAATTGAGTCTCTGTATTTAAAATGTAACATTTAGTGTAACATTGTATCAGCCTACTGTATTTGTTACCTCAAAAAAAGAAGAAAAATCCTCTTTGTGGAAAGGTTTCCTACCTTAACATGCTTTTACATGTCTGTGCCCATTGTCTCAAAAACGTTGCATACATGAACTGCACTTAACATAATTAATATGACTTTTATTCAAATGTATTAATCAACATACTTCAAATTATAGATTTTGGACGGCAAAACTGTGTGGGAGCAACAAAGTAACCGTGGGCTGAACTCGAGATGGAGAATAACTTCAGGTGTGAGAAGATCCAGAAGCCCCTGCTGCCCTTGATGTATGGCGTGGAGTTCCCCCTGGCCCTGGCCGGAAACCTGTTCGCCCTGTGGCTGCTGGTGGTCCGAGAGAGGCGGAACTGGCACACCGGGGTGGTCCTGGCCTGTAACCTGGCCATCAGTGACCTGCTGTATGTCCTGACCCTGCCTCTGCTCATCGTCTACTACTCCCTGGACAAACACTGGGTGTTTGGCGAGGCTGCGTGTAAAATCGAGAGGTTTCTTTTCACCTGCAACCTGTACGTGAGCATCTTCTTCGTCATGGCGATAAGTGTGAACCGGTGTGTGGCCCTCGCGTTTCCCTTCTTCACCCGGTCCCACGTAGAGCCCGTCCACGCCAAGGCCGTCAGTGTCCTCATCTGGGTCCTTGTAGCAGTCATTTCCTGCCCTGTGCTGAGATTTGCCTCAGTTTGCCAAAGTGGGAACACGACTCAGTGTGTGTCCTTCTGTCCCCAGCGTCTCGGGAATGAAAGCCCTCACTTCACTTACAAAATGTTCCTGGCTGTGTTTGGTTGTCTGGTTCCCTTTCTGGTTACTTTCTCTTCTTACTGTGTGGTGATTTCCGTGGTGTGGAAAAACATCAGTGTAACCACACTGGAGAAACGTAAGGTAGCCCTGTTAGTCACATCAGTGATTGTGCTTTATGCCGTTTCCTTTATGCCGTTCCACGTCTTCCAGATCTGGCACTTGTACAGGAAAATCCATACACCCAACACTGATGTTTGTTGGGTGTACTACATGTACCAGGTGTCCAAGGGACTGGCAACTCTGAACATGTGCATCCATCCAATCCTTTACTTGGCTTTGTTTGACAGTATGAGAGTGGCTAGTTGTGGGAAGAGCCAAGAGGACGACAACAGGGGGGGGAGCACGAAGTACAGAGCTGCTGCTTGACCAGGAAGTTCATCATGTTTTCATGCTGTAAAAACTTGCTCTAGTTTCTTGACTTGTTTTTTCTGAAAGTTATTGTTCAACTAACTTTGCAACATAATCCTCTGTAATAAATACGTTGTTACAGAGGAATCCTGTTCTCTTTGAGCAAGTGTTTTAATGAAGCAATGTTGACTTGTGACCTTCTCATCCCAGTTGTTGTAATACAATATGGGATTTGTTTTCAGATCTTTTGAAAGATGAATGGTTAATGCATTCAGCAATTCTCAACTAACAAAAAAGCATAAATTACAGAGAAGTAAATAACAAAAAAATTGTTGTGTAGCCGTCACAGCCCGGCTCAAAACCAGCAACAAAAAACAATGTAAAAATAAATGTATGGCAGTAGTGTGAGTGGACGCATGTAAATTTGCTGCATGGGTGTCGTGCTGTAAAAACAAAGAAACGAAACTAAAAGCCACAAAAAAAAGGTGTAGGCTGACAAGTGAGATGCTAACAAAAACTCACGTTTTTATGCATGTGGTCACAGCAGGCCCAGGTATACCACTGATTACTCCCCAATCAGGTCTGCAGCCCTAGAGATAGAAAGCACAGAAGAAGACTGTGACAGCTGCAGAAATAACATTTCTTTATCTCTCGTGAAAGTTATTCCTTGCATGAAACTCACACTCGGTTTTTCTCTCTCCAAGAAATAGACAAGAATAACTGATGTATCGACACGACTCTGTCACTTCTCCCCTCTGTCATCCTATATCAAGCATTGACAATGTCAAACATTTTCATCATAATACAAAGCGAAATTCATATATGATTACATATGATTTCCACCCTCCCACCAGTAGAGTTTAGCTTGATACCACCGGTTAGGAAACAAGGCTCTTATTGTGAAGCTAACAGTTAGGCAAACGTGGTGCCTTTATTGCGAAAGTTAAAGTCCCGGAAGTGTGTGTATTGGCGGCTCGACTCGTCGCTCTGTGCTCCGCTCTTTACGGCCCTGAAGCTAAGCTAGCTGAGAAGATGCCGTCGATTGAATACGACGAGTGAGTGGGTTTTTAATATACATTTAATAACTTCTGCATATATTGGAGATGTATCATCGATCTAATATTCAATATCAATCTCTCCCCTCCAGCTCCAAGCCCAGTTGGGCAGACCAAGTCGAGGAGGAGGTAGACGAAGGTAAGGAACTAACGTCAGTTAGCTCATGCTAATGCTAGCACATCTCTCTTAGCCTGGTGTCCGCAGGAGGAGGCCGGATAGGCGGCTTCCACTCACACGTGGTTGTCGGGCGTATTACTCCAGATAACATACACACGTACCAGTGATGTGTTGGATATCTGATGTTTAAAATATGTGATTAGTACGTTTGACCGAATGACATAAATGCACGATTTCTTGATTAAATATGAAGCTAACCGACATATGACGGTGACGTAGGCAGTGTCATTCACTGGGGACGTTATGATAGCTAAGAGTTAGCAAGCTAGCTGTGTTACTGGCTTTAGAAATAAATAAATAAAAATGTCCCGGGTTAATTAATAACTTGAGATGTGATCAAGAGAGGACACCTACTGGGGCTGCTCCCTAGTCAGCGTTGACACAACAGCATAGTACAGTGTTGATGTCTGTTTATTTAAGAGAGCAGCGACAACTGCTTCTGTTGCTTTTTGCTCAGAATCTAATTTTATTTATTTTTCTCAGGAACACTACCGCCTCCCAAGGAAACCATCAAAGGAAATATAAAAACCATCACGGAATATAAAATAGATGATGACGGAAAGAAGTTCAAGGTAAGCTAAGTTTTACTAAGATATGCTAAACAATGCTGCTTTGTATACGTGTGCAACTCTTAAACATGTTTATTAAAGATGGTGTACATGTATTGGTGTACAGCTACCGTGATGGTGAAGAGGCGTTTCTTTGTTCATGTATCAAACGTCAGAGCTGGAGTAGTACATGTCATTAGACTTCCTTTTTTGATTTGTAACACTGCAAAACCAACAGAAGTCGTCATACATGCAACATTTTGCGTTTGTGAAATAACTGAATTCGTCATGTTCTGCCTGTGTGTCCTGTAGATTGTGCGGACCTTCAAGATCGAGACAAGAAAAGCCTCAAAAGCTGTTGCCAGGAGAAAGGTTTGCGTTTTATTCACTTTGAAGTTAAGACTTTGGGTGAACTTGGGCGTCATGGATTCTATTTCTCTCTCACTCCAGAACTGGAAGAAATTTGGCAACTCTGAGTTTGATGCAGCCGGTCCTAACGTGGCCACGACCACAGTCAGTGACGATGTCTTCATGACTTTCATCTCCAGCAAGGAGGTGAGGATCCATTGTGACCTTTTTAATGGTTATTTCTGCTTAATACATGCAAAAACAGGCTGTTATTTACTGTGACTGAGTACCTCTTCTAACCTCTTGCAGGACTTGAACGCCCAAGACCAGGATGAAGATCCCATGAACAAGCTGAAAGGACAGAAGATCGTGTCTTGCCGTATTTGCAAAGGCGACCATTGGACCACCCGTTGTCCGTACAAGGACACCCTGGGCCCCATGCAGAAGGAGCTGGCTGAGCAGCTCGGGCTTTCCACCGGAGACAAGGACAAGCCCGCTGGCTCTGGTACCGTCAGCTCACCGTGCACACAATCCAGATGTAGATTTGTGAGACGTTCCTCGCGTTATGACTGACGTGGCCTGTTCTTCTTCTCTTTCACCAGCGGAGCCAGAGCCGGCTCAGCCTGCGCAGAGCAAGACCGGGAAGTACGTTCCCCCAAGCCTGAGGGACGGAGGCACGCGGAGAGGGGAGTCCATGCAGCCCAACCGGCGAGGGGGATGTAAGTAGATCCACCTTCTTATTCTACGCACACATTACTTGATTCATTGTACAGTAGCAAGAGCGTTGCTCAGTATAGACAGCATGCGTTTGCTCTCGACAGCTGATGACAACGCCACTATTCGGGTGACCAATCTGTCGGAGGACACCCGCGAGACAGACTTGCAGGAGCTCTTCAGACCATTTGGCTCCATCTCGAGGATCTATCTGGCCAAGGACAAGAACACCGGACAGTCAAAGGTCAGTGTCCGTCTTCAGAAAACAAACACGTCAGAGACTGGAAGCATTAAAGCAGGTGTTCTTTTATGTAGATAGTACGTTGACTGGTGTATTTGTATCTAGTAAACAAAAGCATCATGTAGTATTATGTTAAATACTAGCTGGCCCTGCCAACAATAGTACAGTTGTCTGATACATCATCTGCTTTGTTTCCTGCAGGGTTTCGCCTTCATCAGTTTCCACCGTCGGGAGGATGCATCCAGAGCCATCGCAGGAGTGTCCGGATTCGGATACGATCATCTTATTCTCAATGTCGAATGGGCCAAGTAAGTTGTCAGTTAATTGTTGGTGTATATTTGTATTTTTTTGTTCTTGCTGCTAAACATATTGAATTCTCTCTACAGACCATCCAACAACTGAGGAATCCATCAGAATACATTCGAGGATGCCAGATTTTATTGTTGTGGTAAAACGTGGCTGTTACCTAAATAAAGAGAATCACATTGTCACAATCTCCTTGTTTTCATTCTAAAATTTGAGGGTAGCTTTCATTTTTGACTGAACCTTAACTTTAAACTGTTGAAGCTAGATACCTGTAAGCTCAGAGTTGTGACTGAGAACAGATTGTAAGCAGAGGGGTTCATATGCAGAATTCTCATCACTAAAGCCACATCTGAATAAAGTCAGTGATGAGTGCAAATGCTTCCTTAACGGCACAAATGAATAAAGTTATGAGGATACTATAGCTATCGGTACATGTTTATGAATAGTGATGCAGAAACTGGATTAAAAACATGTTTGACTCCAAGTGACAAATACTGAAGTAAACTGCAAAATTGCCTGAAGTTGAAAAATCTTTAAATTTAGTCAAACTGTAAAAGGGTCCAGTTGAGATTCATGAGAATTCACAGGTCTGTGGCTGCAACATGTTCCTGTATTTTATGATTTTCACATGTCAACCACACTGCTGAAATCACTCTACTCATGTCTAGATAATGAAATTTAAAGCACTTCAATCATTACCGCCAAAATGATAAATTCAGTTGGAATGGCACAGTATGTAGATCAAGTTAAAGGAACAAAATGCAGCATTAAAAACCGTCTAGAGTCGATTGTGGTAACGTGCTGCCATCTCTAGATTCTGCTTAGTAGCCATATTGTTCCATCTATAGATCTGTCACTTCTGCTTTTAACAAGGTGTCCTTTTCAATTCTTTAAACTACAAGTCACTTTTTTTTGCTGATGCATTTTAGAAAACACTGGCCAGGACATTTCAGTGTAAATAAACTTCTCAAATATACTAAATCAGGTCTTCAACAGGGAGTCTGCAAAATTTTAGGTTGAGACAATTTTTAAATTCTCTTTTTTCCCCAAACATGAATCTGTCATTTTAATAGTTCAGTATTGTATAAAAGATAACGGGTATGTTTATGCATGGTAGTGGCACTAATAGGCCACTCATTTTCATTTAAAATGAAATCAATTTTAATAGCTTGTATGCATGATTATCATGCAATTCACAATGTTGATATCGGCATTGGTATCAGCTGACAAGGTATGTTTCTAAATGGCAGTGGCACGGCCACCCTACTCACTGCACCTTGCACGTTTAAAATAAAAACATGAATATATGAACCTGTGTATTATTTGAATAGCTTAGTGTTGAATGCACAATAAAGATGTATGTTTATCCATGGCACTAGGCCCAGTTTAATATAAAACATACACGTGTGTGTACACACACACACACACACACACACACACACACACACACACACACACACACACACACACACACACACACACACACACACACACACAGAGAGAGAGAGCCAGGGGTCCCTGCTCCATCTCTCAGTTTGGGGCTCCTTGGCCTGAAAAACATTGAAGACCCCTGAACTAAACCATAGCCATAGTTTATCCAAGAGATTGTAGGTGTGAACATAGCTAAAAATGTATATTTAACCGTAATAACTGCTTTATTAACTTCACTTCTTGTCAACGTTAATACATGAAGTCTACAAATAATCAATTTCATAAGAGCTTTATTTGAAATATTACACATATAAAAACTACATACAATTTATTCCACATGATGATTAAAACCAGTTAAAACAAAAACATTGAATGGCACGGCACAGAATGTCCATGTGACACCGTTAAAACCAGCTGGTTAAAAGAAACGTTGGCATCAAGATTTGTGGAACCGATTCTTGCTGGAAGGGAACTAGGAACTATTCAGAGACCTCCATCTTTTCCCGTTTCACCGTCTCTGTGGACGAGAGAGAAACATCAGTAACTCAGCATATTCATTGGGTCATGAATCAGGAGAGGAGAGTCACCTGATGCTTGTTCTTCCTTTATTCTCTCCATCACACACTTCTTCAGCTCCAGGCCGATGGCTCTGGAGAGTGGGGGGGGCACTGCATTTCCAACCTGCTCAAATAGGAAGAAGCCATTACACAACCAGACCGTTTAAGGTCAGAGGCAGGATGATGTTGATGTTCACTGAATACAACGAATGAAGGAAATAAAGATAGCGTACTGGAAGAGTAAAAAAAACAAATGTAGAAACATTACAATTAAAGCAATATCACAAAATATGAATTTAACTCTTCAATGTTCAAATTCCATCTGCGTGATTTTACCTGTCTGTGTTTGTCCAGAATGTTTCCAAAGAAGCGGTACGTGTC